AAAAAAAAAAAAAAAAGAAAGAAAGAAACATGGATAAATATTCCAGATCCTCTGAAATAGCACCAGCCAGATCAGAAAGTGAGAAATAATCCAAGTAGTTATTGTCTAGTGGGACATCAAGAGACAAAAATATTTCAGTGTAGTAAATTCAAGAAACCTGAATCAATCAACCAGGAGACACAGAGCTTTCCTATGGACTCTCCAAGAATATGACAGAGGCTTCTCAGAGTTCCCGGTATGGAAAAAAACAGAATTTTAGGTTCCTTCCAAAATGGAGTTAGAAGTCACCCAGGCCAGTTCTCAGAACCAATGGACAATGATGAGTTGGGGCTAGAAGCACCCCACTTTCCTTTCAATGGATAAGCCAATGGTGCAAATCGCTTACTATGTGCCAAGCTTCAAATCCACTTCTTCTGGGTGGCCCCCTGGTGCCATAAGGGGTTAAGTATCAGCACTATGAAGCAATCCTCACCTCCCCTGGCAGGGGAGGTGACCCAATGTAAATGGTTTTCAGGTTATTCTGCCCTCCCACAGTTAGGATTGCCCTGCCTGAGGGGGCCCCTGCAGTTGTTACATTGTTGTAAGCTGTGTTGTTCACTTCTGTGGGCCAGGTCTTAGTATTGCTATATTCCCCAAGAGAAGCAGAAGCAGGAGAAAGAACAGGAGAGAGGAGGGGAGAAAGAAGACCAGAGAGGAGGCCCAGAGTGAAGACTTGCCAGGGGCTTGGCCTCCTGGCCAGTGCCACCCCCCTACCCCCTGAACTTCTCCCAAGCTCTCCTGCACACTCAATTTGCCTCAAAGTCCTAAGAAAGTAGAAGTTTTCAGATGGGAATTCTCTTGTCTTTTCAACTTTAATCTACAAACTTCCTTCCCCTGGAGGAAATGTTTCTCTTCTGACAAAGGCCAAGGCTTCCACACTGGGGTTTATCTTTCTCATTCTCAAGGACTTCCTTTTTTTTTTTTTTTTTAAAGATTTATTTAAGCATACAAGAACTGGGGTACAGGCCAGAGGTGTGGAGGATGAGAGACAGAGTGGGGAACAGAACAGGCAGATTGATTGAAATACATTGCTGAGGGGAGCAGTGAGAGAGTCAGGAGAGGTCTGCTGCGCCATGTGCGTAGCTCCTTGGCCGGGGATGGAACTCTGCTGAAGTGGCTGTGGATAGCTTCATAGGTTGCGTCTTAATCCCTTGCGCCACCAGGGAGGCCCAGAACTTCCTTTTTTTAAAAAAAAAGATCTATTTATTTATTTGTTTATTTATTTATTTATACAAGCACTGGGTACAGTCAGAAGCGCGGGAGGGTGAGAGAATTCACCAGAGCCAGAGCAGGGAGCAGAGCAGGCAGAAGGACCAAAGTACACTGCTGAGGGGAGCAGCGGGCGGCAGGAGAGGTCTGCGCGCCTTGCGGGACCCTCCTCCGGTGGCCTGGGAGTAGCCGGGGATTGAACTGGCACCGTAGAAGCTGCAGGCAGCTCTGCAACCCAGCGCTCAACCACTGCACCACCGGGGAGACCCCAGAATTTCCTTTTTTTTTTTTTTTTTTAAAAAAAAAATCACCTTTCTCCTGCTTCTTCAACCGCATCCTCCCACCCTCACAGGCATAATCTGGTCTCTTCTCTTTTGAAAACAGCAGAAACAAAATCCAAGCACTCCCATGTGCCTTCTAACCTCTTTAAGATTTGTCCAAACAACTCAATTTACTTCAAATCTCTCCAGTCTGGCCTTGGCCCCCACCACTCCATGACACTGCTTTGCTCAGATCACTGTGATGGGTCTAATAGTAATCCCCCAAAAAGAAAGTCTAAGTTCTAATCCTCAGAACCCGTGTGAACCTATTTGGGAAAAGATACAATACGGATCTCAAAATGAGATCATCTGGGATTTAGGGTAAGCCCTAAATCCAACGACAGATACCCTTGGAAGAGAAAGGTAAAGGGAGATTTGAGATTAGCACCCAGGGGAGAGGCTTTCATATTTCACATGAGCAAACATGCCCACAAACGAACTTCTGGTTTTCCCAAAACACTCTTCCTAAAAATGCTGTTCTTCCTCTGGTTTTCCACATCTGAAAAAATGATGTCTCCACCCAATACGATTGCCTTACTAGAAACCTGGAAGACATTCTTTCCCTTATTTCCACATCCAATTCCTAAACAACTTTTATCAATTTAGTATATAAAATGTATCCTGAGGGCTTCCCTGGTGGCACCAGGGGTTAAGCACAGCACTATGAAGTTATGAGCCAAAAGCACGAGTTTGATCCCCGGCCCTGGGAGATGACCCACATGGCGCAGCAGACCTCTCCTGACTTGCCTGCTGCTCCCCTCAGCAGTGTATTTCATTGCGCCTGTTCTGTTCCCCACTCTGTCTCTGGTGAATCTTTCCCCTCCCTTCCCATCTCTGGCCTGTACCCCAGCCCTTGTATACATAAGTAAATAAATCTTTAAAAAAAAAAAAAGACATAAAAAATAAATTGTATCTTGAATCCATTCATTTCTTTTTATCTGTCATTATCCTGGGACCACACTAAAATTGCATTTCACCTGGTCTCTTGTAATGGCTTCCAATTGATTATCCACACAGCAGCCAGAATGATCTTTTAAAGATCAGATCATGCCAGGCCCCTACTGAAAGTTCTCCTAAGGATTCCCACTAGAGTGAACACAAAATTCACTCCACGGAGCCTTGGGTGGCCTGCCCTCCCATATCTCTCCTCCACCCCCCACCCAGTTCTGTCCACAAACTCAGCAATAACAAATATGCTGCATGAACCGTTCTCTACAAAGTTTGGATCAGCATTATTTACAACTGGTACATTAATACAGATTTTTTAGCTTCAAGCATCTGCCACGTTTTTCTTACCTTGGGCCATCTCAGACGGTGCCCTCAGGTCATTGAGAAGTCCCTGAAGCACCCCTCTCTCCCCACTTACCATAGGTATCTCCTATTATTTTTGTCTCTCATAGAATTCAGTTCATTTCACCATAGAGTTTGCCACAATCTGTAATTACACACTTGATCATTTATTTACAGTCTCTCCCACTGGGTTGTTTCCAGAAAGCAGCTGGGGCTGTCTGTTTCTCATCACTGAGCACAGAGCGCCTAGCTCAGGGGCAGCCTCAGACACGAAGCTCCATAAGTTTGTTGAATGATTTTACTCTCTTCTCTGGTACACCTCAAATGTGTGTTCCAGCAGGCAGGCTCATTTGGTGAGAACATTTTCATCCAGAAGAAAAAAAACCCAAATCTAAATTTTATGAAAACTCAAAGACTTTGTTATACAAACATATAAATTATTTTATTTACAAAGCCATGTTACAAAAAGGAAAAAAAGCCAAAAAAAAAAAAAAAAAAATTACAATCGCTCACTGGAGAATGTCTCCAGGCCTGGTGCTGAACCACGGCCGTATCAATAGATACATGTTTGTTCTTCCCTTGTAAAAACTGTAAGCCATAGAATTTACTATTTACACCTACTTTAGACATTTATTCTGTTTACAATATCACAGGCATGGAATGAATTCTATCTGATAGTGCTATTACATAAAGGTGCGGGACAAAGGAGGAAAATACTTAGTGTTACAAAATATGGATCATAGAAAAGAAACCCACTCCACAAATGTGGCATTTGTTGAGAATGTTTGGACATGCTTTCTTCAAAATTCTTCTGGAAAAGGTTCTAAAATCGGTAGTAGGAAAGGACAAATGAGCAGGTGCAAATTCTTGTCTGTGCAACAACAGTTATTTAATTAATATGTCCCATGACTGACCAGCTACGTATTTACCCAGTTTTGTTAAAGTGCCATGGGCGACAGCATAACAAAATATAAGGTGTAAATAGAAAATTTCTTTTTTTCCTTTTTTAAAACAAGAGTTCACTGAGAATCAGCAATAATAGAATATGCTGTATAAACTATTCTCTACAAAGGTTGATCAGCATTATTTACAATTGGTACATTGATACAAAAGAAGGCATACAAGTTATCCAAGTTGGTGTGTTTTTTTTTTGTTTTTGTTGGTTTGTTTTTTTTATGGCTGACAGGTCTATGCTATGCATTGCGTTATGCTTAACAACCAGAGCATTCGAGCCTCTGTGGCTGGCGACAGGTCACGAGATCTTCAGGCAAATGGAGGTGTGTGCAGTCAAGGGGCGGGAGAAAGGGCTTAGGGGGGTGTGCAGAACAGAAGTACCCAGAGGATATCACCTTCATAATGCTTTCTAGGCTGGTCCAGTTGAACTCCATTACAACAAACCCAAAGAAAACCTTTTATTTGCATTCCATTTTTCAAGCTGTGAGTTTTTAATACATCATTAGCAAGTAAACCTGTGGTTGACTGTGAAGAAAGGAACACCGTGGGTTTTCCCTTTTTGCCCAGTTTTCCAGAAATGTCTTCACCTTGGTCAGAGCCAGTCTTTCATATAGTAAGCAGCATTCGGTGGGGAGCCTCTTTATTCCAGCTTGCAATTCAAAATGTCGAGAGCTAAAATGTTTAAACTTACTGAATTGCTCCTTTAGTCCCTGTCGAGACATTATTTCTCAGAAGCAGCCACTTAATCTCTCAACCTTTATTTTCCCTCTTTGAATTTAAGAGTTTATAAATCAGAGGGTTATTTTGTTGCTGAGATATTTTTGTTTTTACTTCTGCAAGTTTTACAACTCAAAATAAATTATAAAAAAACAAGACTTCTATAACCAAACGAGACAAAAATTGTGCAAAAATAACAAAGATATGTACATACTTTTCAGTCTGAAGAAATGTACAATAAAAACATAATTCAAAGAACATTTTAAAAATATAAACATTGCTTAAACTTTCCTAAGTTTCATATTGTTTCTGAAACTATTCTGGTCAGTTAGCTCTGTAATATAGTAAAACATAAATTATTACAAAATTAACACTATAAAAATTTACTTTTAGAATATCTTCTAAATTTTTTCCAAAGGGTCTAACCTTGTTTATAAGTTCTTAGACATTTATAAGTCTTAAAATCTGCCTTAACCTTTTTTTTTTTTTTATAAAAGAAAAAGGAACAATCTTCCCTTCAATTTGCAGTCTCTTTTTCTCCAAGACGTAAATAAACCAGCATATAAGTGCACTTTTAACACTGTAGAAATAAAAATGAAATCATCTGAACTATAATGTCTTGGTACCTAATATCAACTCCTGATTTTTTAAAAAAATCTTCATTTTATATTAAAAATTTTAGTAATCTTATAAGAAACACTGTCAGTGCAATTTCATTGATGAAAATCACTCCGTCTGCCTCCCGTCTTTGCGAAACCAAATCCTGTGGTGAAACTTAACAGTAGTCTGATCTTTGGGTTGGGGGATGGGGAAGAAAAGGAAAGGTTGGATGGGGGTGGGGGTGGGGGATGAGCCTTTGTGCCCAGCGGCAAAACTGGCATTCACTTCTGATGTAGGCATGGAGGAAGCCTCCCTATGTATGCCATCATCTCGCACGTAGTTACACGATGAAGAGCATAGAAAACCTATTTTGTACTGTGACTCCCTTTCCTGAATGACTCCCTATTAGAGCTTATGGTATTGCTGTTTCTTTCAAAACTCCAGTGTGAACTGTTTCATAGTGGTAGGCCTTGTATCTCTTCCAAGCGATAGTTCACCTTTCCCACCCCTTTCTGGGGCAGCCGTATCTGAGCTGGGGCCACAGATATCTAGCACAAGCTGACCTACAGGCATGCTGGGGACAGAGGTGGGTGGGCAGAGCTAGCATTTATCCTCACCAAGGGGTTGACACTTAACCCTCCATGGAAGCTTTCTCCTCTAGTGCCCTTTCCCCTAGGATTCCTCCCTTTCTGGCGCACCCAGATCAGGGTCCTTGAACCCTCAAAGTGATTTTAGAGCCTGGATCCCTAACTCAGATTACCACAGTCACTCAATTCCCACTGTTTTTTGAGGAACATCTTCCCCTACCCTCTGCCCAGCTTTGTGTTACCTCTAAGGCCATTCCAGTCTCTGTCCCTGACGCAGTATAACCCGGTTTAAGCTTGCACAGCCAAACCTATTGGGTAAGCTACGTCATTAAATGGCTGCTCTCAATTTTGCCTGTAGTATCTGGCTCCAGACATGGCGGTGGGTTCTAGAAACTTGTTGAGGACACTTAGGTGACCCTCCAACTCTCTGCTCTTACTCTCCAAACATGGGCACCTCTCCAGCCAAGTCCCCTCCCCCCCAAATGTTGTCCAGAGGGGAATTTGAGCGAGCTAGCTCCTTCTGATGGCCAGTGGACACCCAGGAAGTGGCAGGTAGGAGGTGGAAGGGGCAGGTGGGAGGGGACAGGGAAAGGAGCACTGTGTGTGCTGCAGTTCAAGCATTTTAGATGATACTAACAAGGAACGGACATTCTGCAATGTCTGCTCTTGTGGCTGGAGCAAAAATGATGGTGCAGTAGCAGCCTCAGCGGCTACGAGTGACCCCAAACTTGGAAGAATGTATACACGTGGTAAATGAAAGACAATGGAAACAAAACACTGGTATTGTTTTCTGTAAATCTCAAATTCACGTTCTTTTGCTTTTATCTTTTTCTTCAAAACTAAAAATTGGTCAATAAAAAAAAAGAAGAAAGGCCAGAGCCACAGGCAGGGCATCGGAAATAAACTCTCCCCACTGCCCAGTCCCCTCCCTCCTCTTCCTGGGGTGGCACCGCGTGGCCAGGAACTGATTTGGAAGTGGCTTCGTAGTCTTGTTATGGAAGAGTCCTTATCCTGCCCGTTCTGTTTGTGGTCTTCTAGGAAAAAAAGAGAAAAGTTTGTTTCAAAACCATGTATTTGGTATTACTCGGGAGAACTCAAGGACAGAGCCCTGGCTTCTCACCTACCCAGGCACATGTCAGTTTCTTACGCTTTACTTATTGTGCTTTAAGAAGAAAAAGCAGTTTGTGGCAATCCTGACTCGAACAAATTTTGGGCACTATTTTTCCAACAGTTCAGATGGTTAGCATTTTTTAGCAATAAACTATTAATTAAGATAGGCACATTGCTTTTTAAAAAGATATAATGCTACGGTACATTTAATCAACTACAGCAGAGTGTAAACATCACTGTCATAGGCAATGGGAAAGCAAAGAATTCGTGTCACTCACATTGTGACATTCACTTTACTGTGTGGACTGGTCCTGAATCGCAATATCTCTGAGGTATGCCTGAAATAAAAAAGATACCATCCCACCTCCTGCATTTGGAAAAGGGCTGCTGTATTATTTAAACAGCTAAGAACTGGAAGCAACCCGAGTACCCACTGAGGGATGAATGGGCAAAGAAGCTGTGGCAGAAGCACACAGTGGAATACTATTCAGCTATTAAAAAAGATGAAATCTTGCTACTTGCAACAAGGATGGGCCTAAAGGGAATTAAACTCAGAAAAATAAGCCAGGCAGAGAAAGACAAACATACATGATTTCACTCATATATGGTATATTGAGAAGACAAACAGATGAATGAAATGAAACAAAAACAAACTTTTGGACTGTAAGACTAAATTTGATCTTAGCCAAAAGGCCGAGAAGTGATGGACTGTAAGACTAAAAACGAAGGGGGAACAGAGGTGAGTAAATTGGGACAAAAACAATAACTTTACGGTGAAGGGTAGATGGGACTTCACTGGGAATGAATGTAGTGTATAAACATATTTTCAAAAATGTACACCTGAAACTATGTTGTAATGCAGTGTTACTTCAATAAGAATTTTCTAATGCAATAAAGCAAATCCAGAAAAGAAAAAGTAAAAAGGGCAGTTGTGACGAGAAAATCAAGTGATGAATATAAAGGCTAAATGTAAGGGAGCTACAAAGATCCTACTGTAGAGGAAAATACAGGGACAAATCCATGGACATTCACAGGGATGCTTTCCAGGAGAGAGGAACGGAATAATTGACCTGTCTTCCCTTTTTTTTTGCCCCCCGTTAGTCTACCTTCTCCTACTTAATGTATAGGCAGTACGGTAAATTATGTAAGGAAGAGGTACAGTGTTAAGAACAGAGGCTTTGCAGAGAGGGGTTTTAGGTTCAAATTCCTTAGCCTCCACAAGTGGTCACCATTGCCACTATGATCACATTTGTTTTTTGTTTTTTTTAAGTTTTTTTTTTCTTTCTTTTATAGACGCATGTTTTATTTATTTATTTGTTTGTTTGTTTTTGTTTATACATGCACTGGGTATAGTCAGAAGCACGGGAGGGTGAGAGAATTCACCAGAGCCAGAGGGGGGAGCAGAGCAGGCAGAAGGACTGAAGTACACTGCTGAGGGGAGCAGCGGGCGGCAGGAGAGGTCTGCGCGCCATGTGGGACCCTCCTCCGGTGGCCGGGGAGCAGCTGGGGATAGAACCGGTGCTGCAGAGGCCGCGGGCAGCTTCGCAACCCAGCGCTCAACCGCTGCACCACCGGGGAGGCCCCTGATCACATTTGTTAAGGCTGACCCAGCATTCTGGGTTCCCAGAAGGTGTGCCAGGAGGTATGGGCAGACACACCGGTGAAAGCAGTTTCCAGGTGTGCTCAACAACCTGTGCTGGAGGCTGCCAGAAACCCTCAACCCTACCTTCCAGCACAGAGGATGGGCTGCAGGTGCTCAAGCACAAAAAGGGCCATGGTGACTCAAAATGGTGAGAGACTCTTCATGATCTATGGGTACAAAACTGTTTCCCAATCACCTGTATCTTCCCAATCATCTATAACATGCAGAGCCACACCCCTCACCTTCCCGGCCTCCCCCAGGCCATGCTCACGCTCCAGTGAAGAAAGTCATTTACACATGGACTATGCTCACACCTCAAGGTTATAGAAACTCCTACGTTTGCGCTTGACATTCCGGCTAGGAATCCACATCCTGAATGCCTTTGAGAGACACTGATACCTGCCGTGGGCAAAACCCTGCAGTCAACATCTTATTTAATTTTCACAATAACCTTAGAAGGTAGGCATCGATTTTGCCATGGAGCAGATGAGAAAGGTGAGACTCAGAAGTAATCTCCCCAGTAATGATGATAATAGTTGTACGTGTGTTTGTTATGTGCCAGCATTTTCTAGAGGTTTTATGTAATCACATTAATTTAATCCTCACAAAAGCCTTATGAGGCAGGGATCATTATGATCTCCATCTTGTAAGTGAGGAAACTGAAGCACAGAGAAGTTTTCAGTAACTTGCTCAAGGGCACAGCTAGAAGGCTTTGGGAGCCACATCGCCATCCTCTTGAGTGGAGTGCGATCTGAGCCGGGGTCTGACCCAATGCCCATTCTTTATGCCCTACTGATAGCCTATATACTTGGCCCCCCAGTAACTTACCTGTCGGCTGTGTCCTGGGCTGGATATACTTGAAGGACTGGATTGTGACAAAACTAGGCTGCTATTTTTCCCAACCTGAAAGACACCAGTGAAGCCCTACTCAGATACATGAACCAGTTGGGAAAACCCACCGATACCACAATCCCTAAGGGAAAGGAGCAGGGCTACCCAATAATGTGCTCATTCTCTTAACTGGAACTGGTGATTTCATCTTAAATGGCAGAGAAAATGAAACACTTCAGGGAGTGCTGGGGAACTCTTAATTTTCCTTCTCAGATGTACAGACTGCAAGTTTCAAGGGTGAGGAAGAAGGCATCAGGCCAGAGGCCTGGCCCTTCCTGGGAGTATTTAATTCGGCAGAGGCCTAGTTCTTCCACCTGTGTCCAAAGGGTTACACAAACTCATCTATCTGAGATCTCATCCCAGACTCCATTGTTTTCAGCTCACACTCCTTTGAACCAGGCAGGGGACAGAAGCTTGAGACTTTTTCTGGGTCAGTTTTCTGGGCCAGGAGATGAGTGCAACCTTTCTGTTCTTCAGATAAATAGCAAGGTGGCGCTGAGCTTCCTCTTCAAGGGGGAGCCAGATCCTAGCCCAGTGGCTACAGTGGAGCATGTGGTGTGGCTGTGAAGTCCCTCCTTCCTTCTGTGACTGTCCTGGGTACACGGTGTGCTGGGTCCTCAAGTGAGTACCCTTCCCCAAATCAGCTCCTGTTTTGGGGCCTATACAGAGCTAGTCCTCTATGTTAGCTTGACTTTGCACAGACCTTTGCCTTACCTCAGTCTTGTTTTTTATTAAATTCAATCCTCCTGAGGCAAATTCTGGCCTTACACCTGCCAGATATAATTAAACAGATCCCCAATTTATCCCCAAAGCACATGTTCACCTTGGATTTCTCAACCGCATGCCACACCAATCTCCTAACAACAGACTCCAAAGCCTTTCCTTAATACTTAGAAGTAACAGGTGGTGACCCTGGACAAGGCTTTTCTTAATGGCCTGGTGACACACATCCAGTTATTACTTACATTGGAGAATCAAAACTGACCAGACCCACGGTAGTTGTTCAACTCATCTGCTTTTTTAATTCCCCTCCTCATGAGGCCTGTCTAGACACTTGTCTGTTCCTTTTACTGGTTTTGGCTGATTCATCATGTTTAATAAGCATTTCATTCATTTGGTCCATAGACAAAAGGATCCAGAGTTCCATCAACTCAATACAGAGGCACATTAACATGGAGGCTTGGAGGCTAAGAGCCCAGACTTCAGAGCCAAATTGCCTGAGTTAAAAATCCCAGTCCTGCTCTTGACTTGCTATGTGACTTTGGGCACAATGCTTAACCTTCCTGTGCTTTGGATTATTCATTTGTAAAATGGGGGTAATAACAGGTAATGATCAAATGAGTTAATATATGGCAACTTGGCATAAAGTCTATGCCCTAAGTGTTAGTTGTTAGAACTTTATCTAAAATGGGCAACACTATATAGCCTTGCTGCTCAGGATGTAGGGCCTGAAAACCACTGTGGCTGCAGTGCTGGTAGCCTGTTAGAAATGCAGGTGCTCAGGCCCCATCCTCAACCTGCTGGTACATAATCTGCATTCTAACAACACTCCCAGGTGATTCTTTGGTACATTCAGGTTTTGGAAGCCCTGGCTCTGCCCTACTTCCTGAGACCCAGAGGTGGAACTGCCTAGCAATTTAATCTCAGGGGAAAGGCCCTGTGGGTGCTAGCCCTCCCCCGCACCCAAAGGGCTGGGAAGTCAAAATGGTGGCACATATGCCACAACTCCAAATGCATGAATGGCTGAGGCTCTAGTGAGAGGTGCTATGTCTCTCCCTCTTTCACATTTGCCTCTGTCTTCAGCTTACCTGGCCCTGGAGATCCAAATTTGCTGTTTCTTGGGTGTCTACCTGTGATTTCTGAATCCCCCTTAAGATGTTCTCTTTGTAAGGTTTTAATCAGCCTCACGTAAAGGATGACCCAAGACACTTCTTTAACAGCTGCCTGTCATCTCCCCAAAGCCGTCATCACCAGATAGAACTGGGTTTAGGGTCCAGCCCACTGAATTCTGAGGTTGCAAACCTGGAGCTGCTGCTCCGGATTGTGTAGGCTGCATCGGTGGGAGTAAGGCTGTTGGGCAGGCTGCGCACTCGGCCCTCCTGTGGGACAGCTCCCAGAGAACCCCAGGCCGCCCTCTCCACCTCTGCTCGCCCATCTATGCCCTGTGACAATGGTGCCTGGTAGCTTCTCCAGGTTGAGGAGACAGACTAGACTTGAGGATGAGAATAGAGATCAAGGAAAAGAAACACGAATTTTTCATGGCGCACTCCCCATTTTCCCAGCTTTCCTCACAATATACACCTCCTGTTTGCACAATGCAACCCACACCTCTGTACCAGTTGGTGTGAGGTGCAAATTCATTTAAGAAGAAAAGAATTATATTAGGGCAAAGTGGGGGTTGAGGCAGCCTGGTAAAGTGAGAACAGTCACTTGGGAGCCAGAAGCACAAGCCACCATCCCCCAGGTGGGGCCCTGGTCCCACTTAATCTGCCTGGGTCTTGGGCTCTTCCTAAGGGGATGGCAACAGATCAGTTCAAACTGCTTAGTGACAGATCTTCATGAAAGTGGCCTCAGAACCTCAAGAAATAAGACAGAAGTAGACTGGGGAATTCAGGAATTGTTCTGTGCCTCAGTTTCCCCACCTCACCGGAAGTGCTGATAACCATGGTACCAAATGCACTGGGTTGTTGTGAGGATTAAATGAGGTAATATTTGTGAAGTGCTAAGCGCAGCACCTGGTGCATAGCAAAAAATACTGTACAAAGCATTTGTTAAATAAACTGCTCTCAGAGCAGAGAGAAAAAACTGCCTACAGGGAAAATGAGAAAAGGAGAAAAGTTAGCATTACCTCTCTGAGCCACCTGGCTAAGCAGGAGGCTGCTGCCCAGCTTCCCCTGCCCACCCACCCCAGAGCCGATGAAGGCAGTGCCAGGAGGCCCCTAGAAGGATGGGTCCCTTACCTGCCGAGAGGAGGTGCTGTTAACGGGATCGGGCACCGGTGCGAGAAGGCTGGGCGGGTTCTTTTTGTGAACGCTATTCATACCAGGCATTTTAGTGATTTTACAGGCTTTGCTACTAGAACTCGAGTTCTTACGCTTTTTTCCTTCTGATTTGTCAAAAGAGAGGGGCAGAGATGACACGGCATTGTGTGAGGCCAGAGAGAGGTCCCCTGCAAGGGATGGCACAGAGAGGGGACAGGGGTCGCTGCCGCCCACCGAGCCCACGTGTCTCACTAAGTCCGCGGGGCCGCCGGGCAGCGAGGTCCGTCCTGAGGGCTCCAGTTTGGCACTGAGTGGGCTCACCCCATTGTTTGAGTTGTGCACAGAGAGACTGTTATAGGGAGGGGCCCCCTGATAGGAGTTCAAAGCTGAACTGGCATTCAAGACACAGTTCTTTTTGTGGGGACCTGATAATGGAGACGAGAGGGATGTCTGCAAGGATAATGAGGAGGAGGAGGAAGTCGAAGACTGTGGCTTCCTCTTTTTGTTACTTGGACACTCGTCGCTACGGGCGGACAGGTCTTTGACTTTTGAGGATTTGCTGGTTTTGGTTTTGGATGGCTTGTGGGATGGGGAAGGGATGACGGCTGGTATCGGGGACACGGCGGATGGGGCCTTGAAAGTTGAGTCCATGATGCTGAGGGTTGCAGCCACATGAGGGAAAGCTGTGGTGTGTGACATGAGGGCGCTCGCGTCCGGCGATGTCACAAAAGCTGCGTTTGAGAGCATGGCTGATGTCATTATGTAAGAAGAGGTGAGTCTCGAGCTGATGGGAGCTGAAGGAAGATACACAGCACTGGGGTTGCTGAAAGGCTGTAAAACGGATGCCGGAACGGGGGTGGTGATGTGGGCTGCTGGCGAGGGCATGGGGCTATCTGCCGCAGGAGGGATCTTCCTAAACATGAGAGAAGAGTGAAAGAGAAACAGTGAGAAACAGGCCTGGCGTTGCTCCGGAGCTTGATTAAGTGTGAGCATCAGGGCGACAGAGGAAACCCCAGTAGAACCAGACTATGGAGAATGAAGCCTTGAAGGATGGCAAAATCTGAATTATGGCCCTTCCCTGTGGTTTCCCCCATTGCAACATCCAGCAACCTATTTTTAATCCTTTTCAGGTTTTCAGATCCTTTTCTTCATGCTTGGCTACTGGATAATGGCGGATTTGGGTTCATGAATAAAAGGCAAATGTTATTGAGAATATAAATTTCCCCAACAGTATTCCCCTTCTTTTGGGGGCCAGTGATGAATGTGGCTTCTAATGAGAAGTGGCTATTTCACGTTTAGATCCTGGCTTGAAGAAGAGTGAGGATAGGACTTGGCCACCTGCACAGGTGAGTCAAAGTGTCCCCCACCTCTCAGGGCTTCCCAGCCCTCCTGCCCCCGGCTGGCCTGCCCTGCTCCTGGCTGGAGGCGGTCTGGGAAGCACTCCTCGCAGGCCAGCCTCCTCCTGCTTTGGCTGTCTGCAGCCCTGGTTTCTCTGTAGAGAAGCATCTCCTTGATAGTTCCTGCCTGCTGGCTCCTGCTGCCTCCTGCCCGAAGGGGGCAGGCAATGAAGGGCTGGGACTTGGGAAATGATGTCACTGCCTAGCCCCAAGACCGAATTTTTTCCCTATTGACCTTCCCCCATCTCTCAGCTCTCTCAGAGGAGCAGTAACTGGGGCATGTTTGCCTTTCAACAGGTCTTCCTGTGCCTGTATTAGGAAGGGATGTGAGTGCAGGGATTTACAGTTGGTTGCAAACATAGATGCAGGACATGGCACAGGAAAGCACATGGCGGGCAGTCTTTCTGGAGGATGTGTGGGAGCAAACTCCCTGCTTCCTGCACTGAGGAGACCCAGTCAGCTCCAGACAGTGGGTCTGGACCTCTTGGGGCCTCCCTGCAAATTCTGTCTTCTGACTTGTGCTGCAAACAGCTCCCACTTCTAACTGTGGTGGGGGCAATATTATTGCTAGTCTGGTGCACAGAGCCTGGGGTCACCATGTGTTTCTGATTTTGCAGGAGAGGACACTGACCTCAGGAGCCAGGTGAACATTTTCATACTCTTTCCTATTTCTTACCTCACTCCCCTCCCTGCTTTCCCTGTAGCTGGGGCTTCCCAGCACCTGGGTACTAGCTCTCCTTTGAAAGCAGCTTTTGAAGTCAGAAGGCCTGGGACCTGCAACCTGGGAGGCCTGGGGGAAGAAGATGGGGCCTCACAGTCCCTTCTCACCCCTGGAGACTACCTCTCAGGCCTCAGGATTAGGGAGCAGGCAACTCTGGAATGGGGCCCCACTGAGAAGGAAATGCCTCTTCTAGTGTGATTCTCTCTGCAGATTCAGTTTTATGCCTGCAATTTGAGGAACTCATGGCTTCCATTTTTTGGAGTGGAATCCAGAGGAATCTTTGGATACAGAAGCACAGTGTCCTTAAAATGATCAGACCAAGTAGGACATTAAATACAAGAGAAAACTGCCAAAGCCACGGTGGCCATGATGGTGTTTGAACATTAACTTTCTCTCAAGCCTAAAGAATGTAACAGATCCTGTCAGCACCAAACAAGTGCCCCATTAGTATCTGTTGCAATGAATGAATGAATGAACGAATGAATGAATGGGTGAGCAGGTGAATTCTCAGCAGCAACAAAACCATATTGTCCGGGACTGTGCATGCTGGGCAAGGACTCCCATATAATCGGTCTGGAGAGGTCGAAACACTCCCTTAGAAGTGTCTGGCAGTGCACACTCCTTCCTACAGTGCCAGGAAAGATGCCCTGAGTGTGCAGGGTCAGCACGCTGTGCCTGCTGCCTCTGTTGCCTGGCTGTGCTACTACAGGCAGCCCCCCTCAATCTTTCCTTGACTTGGATTTCTTACCAGCTAAGTGTGGGTAGAAATACATGTGGGCAGAGGTTTGGCAGTTACTTGTAATAAAGTTATTTACAAATACCACCTGGCTCATTTAGAGAAGACCCCAATCAACCACCATGGCTGCTCTGAATGTCCTGATTTGTAATTTTCCCATTAAATAGTATAAATTTATGTTTCAACGGTGCTGACAAGCAGAGCTGGAGTCCTTAATCTTACCTGGCTGCCACGCAGGACTGGGATAGGTAATATTCCTCAGCATAATTTTTACCCCTTTTTTCCTCTCCCCACTAATCACAGGATAACAAGGGCAGGAGGGGAGACAGGGCAAGGGAGAAACAGGGCAAGTGGCAAGTGGCAGCTCGCGGTCCCCGGGAGTCCCTTCTCCCCATGCTAAACAGACTGTGTTTTTCTAGGTGCCAAATGGCAGCGGATTCCAGCTTTGCACGCTGGTCTAGGGAAGTCCCGCACAAAAGCCCACAGATGCAAATAAATTACTGACAGTGCCCATCCTCCCCTGCCAGCTGGCATGGAGATCCAGATGCTGACCTGGCTGAAAGAGAATACTGTGTTGGCGTCTCCTGATGCAGAGTTAAATGCTTGTTAAAGAAAAAAGAGTCTTGGCCGTTCCTTTTCTTCCTAATGTCTTCCACGCCCCCATCGGCTGCCATCCCTCCAGGTTCGGGCCCGTCGGGGCCTGGGGTTTGGGCAGCGAGGTTGAGAGGGCAGCGGGGTGCTACGCTCTCCAGAGTTGACACCCAGGCAGCCCCAATGTTGCTCAGTGACAGCAGATTGGTTAGGCAAGTCCTGAAAAGGGGGGAGGGACCTGATGCCCTGTGACTCGGGTTTCTGTGCCTGAGGAGGAAAGGAATATGGAGCTTGAGCTGACAGGACACCAGGTAGCGAAATACAGATCAACACATTCCTTCCACGTGTCCAGGAGTTACACTTCCACAACACAGGAGCTCAAAGAGCTGCGAGAATCACCAGGGCTGGCTGCCATCTTGGGGGAACAAGTGCAGAGGATGAACAACCCAGTAATTGAGAACACGGTCACCCCACATGCAGCACCAAATTGTTGCTGTTTGAATGGACACTGGTAGCATCAAGGGTGCCTTTTAGACACACTGGGCAGTCGCTTAAATGGGAAGAAATGATAAGCTTCTCTTGTGGCCCTTTCCTACATTACATTGTCAACATTGAGGATTTGGTCTGCTATGGGAGTTTAATGCAGACACAATGGGGCTTATTTCTACAGGTACAGACGTCAAAGCTCTTTGTGCATCATGACGAAAAGGGACTGAGGTGCCATTGCTGCCAGGGAGAGAGGAGGAAGCCAGGGATAGGGGCAAGTTTTGAATGCTGTTCCCACCTTTACCCCCAGAACCCTTCCATTTCTCAGAAATGTCTTTCTTGCCTTTTCCTGGCTTCACGGGGCAGAGTGAGGGTTTTAGCGTTGGCCTTTGTGAATCATCTGGGCCCAGACCTGAGGGATTCCATATTCTAAGGGAACACAATATCTTATAAGCTCACCTTTGTGAGAGTGAGGGGATGAGGATGCCCAGCAGGCAGGCCTTATGTTATCAAGTGCTGTGATTTGAGAGGGCCTAGGCCTGTCGTTCCTTCACAGGAGTATTTTCCCAAGTCTAGAAAGTTTCTTTCGTTTTTTCATAAGTCTCCTATTAAAACGTAAATACATTGGGGGGAGTCGGAGAATACAGGGACCTTAGAGAAATGGAACACAGCTGGGGTAGGGAGAGGTGTGAGCAGGGGAGGAGAGAGTTCTAGGGAGGTGGGAAGGGCCAAAGACAAGCTTAACCAACTTCACAGCATCGCTCAGGATCTGCCCTATTGGTTGCTGTACATCTTTCCCCACAGGATATTCAACAATTAGAAATTAGTCCATAACCATTAAGAAATTTTTAGAATTGATATTTAGCATATACAGACAGAAGCATATTCTTAACATCCTTAGATGTTCTTAGTTGTAGCAAAAAGACCTTCTAAGACTGTGAAATAAACAAGACTTTAGCTACTACCCTTTTCATTTAGTTTAGAAGATTATCAACATGGAAACAATTTCAAAGAAGACAATGCATACCGAACACATCATCTGCGTTTTTGAAAAACTGTAGGCAGAACATTAAGAAGAGCTCACATTTAAGAATTAATCATGAATCCTGACTTCAGAGTAACTTTGGTCTGTGAGAAGCCGGCTGCTGACATTCATTTAGAAAGCTGGGGTTCAGATAGCTGTAGGGCAGCTCTGATCTGATACTGCACAAAAAGTGTTCACTTACTTCCACATCTGTGAATTCAAGTGTTTTTCTACCATGGAGTTTAGTGCGAATCGAAAACGATCCCATCTTCTATCAAACACATAGTACCCTCGTCCCATGAGGCGACTCCCGAATGAGCAAAACTGTGAGGAAAAAAACATTTTAATTTTGATTACAGGTTAATAAGCTAATATAAACCATACAGAGAAAAATAACATTTGCATAAATACACACAGGGGTACAATTTTACTCAAAATAAAGAAGCAAATAGCACCGAAGCCAAAAATAATTCTGTGGTGCTTCACTTTGAGCTCTAGATTTTCCACAGAGCCTCATGTTATGACTCAACAATAGTGACATTCAAGTTTCTGTGGTACCGAGGGCCACCTTCTCTACACCTGGGATCCAGTCAGCATTTCAGGTTGGGAAAAAAAAAGCTGGGATGATTTTCTTTTCTTTTTTTTAAAGATTTATTTATGTATGCATACAAGAACTGGGTACAGGCCAGAGATGCAGGGGATGAGAGAATCCACCAGAGACAGAGTGGGGAGCAGAACAGGCGGATCCACTTAAATACACTGCCGAGGGGAGGAGGGGGTGAGACAGGAGAGGTCTGCTGTGCCATGTGGGTTATCTCCCCTGCCAGGGATTGAACTCATGCTGCAGTGGCTGCTGAGAGTTTCATAGTGCTGAGACTTAAAACCTTGCACCACCAGGGAGGTCCCTGGGATGATTTTCAGCCCCACCTGCTTATCCTATTCTCCGTCTTCTCAAGGAACTCAGCGGCTCCCTCCTCCTCATCACTGTAATGGAAACTGCTCGTTCTGATGTTCTGAGTCTTCCGCCAAGTGGTCACACCTTTCCTGCCTGTTGTCAACAGAGCTACTTTCAACTAGGCTGAACTCCCTCCCTTCCTGGTCCTGACCTCATCTCCCGCCTCCTACTAGCACCTGGAACACATTTCTACCTTCATATATATGCTCATGCTATTCCGTTGGCTGGAACCTCCTTCCTTCTGCTGTCTCCTCAATTCTCCCCTCCTCAGAGCCCTTATCAAGACTCTCATTTCCAATGGCCTATCTCTGACTAACTTTGCCACTTTGACCTCTCAGGATACACCTCATGCACTTTATTACATTTCACCTTGGAATCACTATGTGGCTGCTTTATGTTATACCTAACACCCATGTGCGTGACTTGATTATAAAGGTCTGAAGCCTGGGGACCCCATGTGCCTTTTCTTTCTCCTCAGTATGAGGATAGTAGGGATTTGGATGAAAGAATGGATGGGAGAGACAAAGCCCTCCACAAAATATTTAAAGCACACCATCACATTTAAAACACATAGTTTAAATATGAGCCGTTAGATGCTGAATAGACATCATTTGATTATGATGTCAGGACAAACAGAAGGCCAGGAGACAGAAATGCAGGAAGCGGCCTCTGAGAAGGTGACATTTGGCTGGTCTAGAGCTCAGGCGAGTCTGCCAGTGACTCTATAACTCAAATACAGCGTCTCCCCCTTCCCCCAGGGCTCCCAGCAGCTCCCTGGCCTCCATCCCAGACACAGTGCTGGATTGGCATGCGTACCACAAACCTTTCTGGAACCAGCCTTTGGAACAGTTCTCAGGAGGAAATGTAAGACCTTCCCTTTGTTTCTGCTTGTGTTCTGGGGGTTTTGCATTAAAATCTTGCCACCAAATCTGCTATTCCTGATGATGCACCTTCATATTAAGTGTCAACGAACCACACCAGTAAGCATACAAAGGGAATCCTCCACTATGGGGGGTAGTCCCCAGCAGCACTGGGAGCTGTTCCAGGTCTCAGCATCTCTTCTTCCTCCATCCCATTTGATCAACATACACTGACCAGGCTTCATTACAAAAAATAATTGAATGTATCAATTGACTATGAGAGAAAGGACAAAGCAAAGAAATAAATCCATGTCCCTTTCATTTAAATCAGTAAAACATTAAGGCTGCATAAATCTTCCATGCCCAGAGCTGGCTTGTCATTTGGACCAACATATTGATGTGTTTCAAAGACTGGCCTTTGGGTGGAGCCCTTTCTTCCTTGCAGACCTGGAAGCTGGAGGAACCTTTTTGTCCTTTGCTACCTACATCTCCAATTCAGCCTAATGCATAGAGGCACCTGCTCCGGGTTACGTAGTATGCCCTCAGCAGAGCTGCAGAGCCTCACAGGGCACTGTGGCAGACACTACTGCCTGTCAATCTCATCAACTACCAGCAAACCCCCACCTCTCCCTGCCTTTTCTTTGCTAACAAAACTACAATGTTGTTTTGGTATCTGATAGAGAGCAGTGAGCAGGGAAGGCAGGTCTCTCCCCAGAACCTTGGGATCAAGTATTGCTGTCACTACAATCCGTCCTTCTCTGCTATGGATTGACCTAGGGGTGGGCACGTGATCCAATTCTGGTAGATATAAGGGGAAGTCAGCTGGGGGGGGGTTGATAGGAAGATTTTCTTCCCTAAGAAATGATGTAAGATAGCATTTTAGAAGACCCCCTTTCTGTTTATCCATTCCATTTCCATGCTGTGTAGAATGTTCCTGGGTGATACTGGAGCTGTGGCAGACACATCAAGACCATGAAGAAAGGCAGAGGATTGTGGAGGCTTTTCCTCATTTCCCCCACATCATGGAGGTACTGAACCAAGTTTGGAACCACCTACTTCGAGGCTTCTTGTTAAGTGAGATAATTAAATGACCATAGTGCATACATTGTATGAATTAAAGTTTTCTACTACTGGCAATCAAAGACATTCTCAACTGTCCCTATTTCTGTACTAGAGAAGGGGTGACATCTTAGGCTGTGGGTGAGACATAGGTCACCACCATGCCCAGAAATAGGAAGTGAATTTTTTTTTTTAAAGATTTATTTATTTATACAAGCACTGGGTACAGACAGAAGCGCGGGAGGGTGAGAGAATTCACCAGAGCCAGAGCAGGCAGAAGGACCGAAGTACACTGCTGAGGGGAGCAGCGGGCGGCAGGAGAGGTCTGCGCGCCATGTGGGACCCTCCTCCAGTGGCCGGGGAGCAGCCGGGGATCGAACTGGCGCTGTAGAGGCTGCAGGCAGCTTCGCAACCCAGCGCTCAACCGCTGCGCCATGGGGAGGCCCAATAGGAGGTGAATTTGACCTTCCTTCATCACACAGGTAGAAGGGAGGAGGACTCACACTATTTGATGCAGGACTCACTGCACCCACGCACTCCATGACATCGAGGGATAGTGGAAATCTGCTAGGCTCAAGCTGGTGCCAGAGCAAAGTAGTCACGGGGTGCCAGGTCCTAGGTTCCAGCCCCCCCGCACTTGACTCTGTGATTGATAGTAGCACCAGACATTCCCTTCACAAATGTTTGCATGGCAAACAAGTCTCCAGGTCATGCCTTCTTATACTTCCCATCTGGATTTCAATGACTTTCTGAAAAGAGTGAACTCTTTCAAGGAATAAGAAGAGAATAGCTTTTTTGTTAGTCAGCAATCATGTTGACATGATATGCTTCCTTCTTCTTTACACACACACACACACACACACACACAGAGTTCTAGGGCCATATGGTCCCATTTACTTATAACAATTAAACTCAGATCCAACAGAAAAGAAGACATCTAGGGGACCGGCACCTGGCACACAGCGCAGACAGAGGGTCTCCAAAGCAGGTGAGCGAGACCAGCTTTTAACAGTGAAGGCTCCATTTTCAGAGGGCAAGGCCAGGAGGTCACTTTGCCAGTATACTTCCATAAACACCATTTCCTAGGCATTGTTGTTTCAAGGGGACCACGAATACTTACGTATTTAAAGGACCCTAATGAGCAGGGAGACTTTTCCTTTCCTCCTGTGATTTGTAAGTGTCTAAGAAGGCAATCACTCAACGTCAGCATAAGCCTTTTTGTAAAACCCTGTCCTGGCAGCATGTCGTCTGACACCATCATGTAAATACCCCAAAGCACAGGAGAGAAACATGCAGGCAAGGTACAGGAAGGTAGCCTACCGCGAGAGGTCTGGGGTGGTGGGTGGAGAACTGACAGTCTAACTTCTCCGCTTCGTCGGCTCCGTCCATCTCCCCTTCATCACTTGATAGTCGGCTGGCAAGGTCACCTCCAACGGGGGGCAGAGGGGGTTCCGGAGTGTAGCCACTATGATTTGAAGACGTGCTGCTGCTTATGCTATTTGCAGATGATGGTCTAGGGCAAGAGAAAACAAACAGATAAGCTTTTCTGAGGTAATATGACCCACCCACAAAATGAAGCTCAGAAGGTGGCCCAATTAGCCTTCAGATATGTCAAGGTGGGTAGGTCAATGGCAAATTTGCAAAAGGAAAAAAATGAAGGCTGAGAGTGTTAGTTGAAACCAGCTCTCTACAGGGAACAGGTGGAGCAGAGGCTTAAATTCAGGCACCAGGGGAAAGCCCAAAGGTGTAAGCAGAATGTAAAATAGATATGTGACAGAGAGTTAGCTTCACCTCAAATTAACTTTTTATGAATTCAGTTGGCATGTAGGGAGTTTATACTTGCTATGTAGTTACTTTAAAGTGAAGCTTGAAGGAAGATCAACCAGGTAAACAAGTTCAAAGCAATGAACAAAATATTAGTGATGATGAAAGACAGACCTATAAGTGCTTTTTTACTGGCTACTAAAATATGACATTAATAATGTTGGGGAAACTGTACCGCTACATGCAAAAGAATGAAACTAGATTGGGCCTCCCTGGTGGCGCAAGGGCTTAAGAAACAACCTATGAAGCTGTCCGCAGCCACTGCAGCACCAGTTGGATCCCTGACCAGGTTGCTGACCCACATGGTGTAGCAGACCTCCCCTGTCTCACCTGCTGCTCCCCTCAGCAGTGTATTTCAGTCAGTCCACCTGTTTTGCTCCCCACTCTGTCTTTTTTTTAAGATTTATTTAGTTTTGCCTACAAGAGCTGGGGTACAGGCCAGAGATGCGGGGGGGGGGGAGGGGTGAGAGGATTCACCAGAGACAGAGTGGGGTACAGAACAGGCAGGCTGAAATATACTGCTGAAGGGAGCTGTGGGCGAGTCAGGAGAGGTCTGCTGCGCCATGTGGGTCGCTCCCTGATCGCCCGGGGATTGAATTTGTGCTGCAGAGGCTGTGGATTGCTTCATAGCGCGGTGCTTAACCCTGTACCCCAGTTCTTGTATAAAGAAATAAATCTTTAAAAAAAGAATGGGCAGAAGAACTAACTAGGCACTTCCCCCAAAAAAGACATACAAATGGCCAACAGGTATATGAAAAAATGTTTATCATCACTTATTGTCAGAGAAATGCAAATCAAAACCACACCTGTGAAAATGGCCCATATTAAAAATAGAACAGAAACAAATCCCAGTGAGGATGTGGAGAAAAAAGAACCCTACTACGCTGTTGGTGGGAATGTAGACTGATCTCACCCTGATGGAAAACAATATGGAGCTTTCTCAAAAAACTACAAATGGATCTGCCATAAGACACAGCAATGCAACTCCTAGATTTCTACCCAAAAAACACAAATACACTATTTTGAAAGTAGACTTGAACTCTCATTTTCACTGGAACACTGCTTACAATGGCCAAGTTATAGAAACAGCCTAAATGTCCCAAAGCAGATGAATGGATTAAGTGGGTAGGTATAGTGTGTGTGTATGTGCACAAACACACAACACACACACACATAGGAATGCTATTCAGTTATCAAAAATGATCAAAAATTATAAACTCTTGCCATTTGTAGTAATATGGGTGGAGCCAGAAGAGATAATGCTAAGCTGATCAGTCAGAAGGAGAAAGACAGATGCCAGATGATGTCACTTATGTGTGGAATATAGAAAAAGAAAGCAAACGATCACATAAACCCAAACTGAAAAACTAACCCTTTGAAGTTAACTGTGGAGTGGGGGCAATTGGGGGGGTGGGGGACAAGAACAAAGAAGGGTGGGAGCACAAGGTAGTGGACTATGGGTTTCTCTGGCGGCGGCGCACTATGACAACAGTGCCTGAGGAGGGGGTTCCTGTACTTCTACAAAGGAAATAATATAAACCAATACTAACTCAATAAAAAATTTTAAAAAAAGGCTTTATGAAATTGTTACCATACTTGCACACAAAAATATTTTGTCCTTGTATGGGATCACAAGTCCCTTATCCCACAGCCATGCCAATTTTTAATATCAAGCAACATATAGTTTAATTGTTTAATCTTCTGAAGATGAATGTTTCCATTTAATGTTTGACAAGCCACTAGGCTTTCTGACATGAATGGCTTATAGCAGATGTTGAAGAAATAGATGTCTTTTCTCAATGAAGGCATGAATGAATTCCATGTGCATAAACAATCAAACAAGTCTCACCTTAACTATGGCTAAGCCTACAGAAAAGCAATGGCAAATAAGAGGTAGCAAGACATGCTTTCTAAGCAGTAAAAAAAACCCAGAAAAATCAAAACAAAGCAAATGTGTTCACATTAGTAGAAGAATAAGATGAGAAACAAAGTTAGTTATTTGTTACTTTTACGGCTTCTCTACTTTCATCAGGTGATTGAACAGGGAGAGGATAGGAAGAAAAAAAGCACTGGGGAAAATACTGAGATCTTTTTCAAAAATTGGTTTTCTAACATTCTGCTTTGAAAGTTGATCCTTCAAGAAACATGAAGGAAGAGTACTAATTGGCCTCCTTTTCTCTCTCATTTTCACCCTAGAGTCTTTGTTGCTTTGAAATCTTTCTAGGTGTCAAATACCTGAGTTCAAATCAGATCTCAAAAGCACAGTTTTGTTTTGTTTTTTTAAAAGATTTATTTATTTATGTATACAAGAGCTGGGGTACAGGTCAGAGGTGTGTGGGGGGGGGTAGTGGTGGTGAGAGGATTCACCAGAGACAGAGTGGGGAACAGAACAGGCAGATCTATGAAATACACTTTTGAGGGGAGCAGCAGGCAAGACAGGAGAGGTCTGCATCCCCATATGGGACACCTTCCTGGCCACAGATCAAACTCGTGCTGCAGTGGCTTTGTATAGCTTCATAGTACTGTGACCTAACCCCTTGTGCCAACAGGGAGGCCCCAAAGCACAGTTATTTGAAAACATAGCCTCAAAGGCTGAAATGACCCAAATGTCCACTAATAAAGGAGTGGATAAACAAAATACGGTACATCCATACAATGAAATATTAGTTAAATCTTAAAAAGGAATGTGCTTCTGATACATGCTTCAAAATGGATGAACCTTGAAGGCAATTTGCTAAGTGAAATAAGTCAGACACAAAGGACAAAAGCTGTATGACTTTACTTATAGGAGGTACCTAGAGAGTCACATTCAGGGACAGAAAGTAGAATAGTGGTTACTAGGAACGGGGGCACGAGAATCGGGGAGTTTGTGTTTTATAGGTGCAGTTTCAGTACAAGATGATGAAATAAGTTCTGAGGGTTACACAACAATGTAAATTTTTGTGTTATGTTTATTTTATCACAATTAAAAAATCCCAAAATATAAAAGCAAAGTCACAAGTAGTTTTCCAGTCATTATAAGAACTCTGTTGGTATGACAATTATTGACAATCACCTTCCCTACTTATAAAATCAGAGATGTCATTCAGTTTGCATATTAAAAGTCCATAGTCCAGAGAACATACCTCCCAGGTACATTCCCAGATACCTACTCGCCTGTATCTAGAGGAGCAAAGACACTATTGCTTGCTTATTTATAGCTGAAGATCCAAATACTAGCACAATTTAGAAAATGCTGAAACATATAAAGAAAGAAAACAGCATCCATAATGTAATCCTGCCACTCAAGTGCTCAAGATCAAGTGGTATTAGCATCTTGATTTATATCCTTCCAGACTTCTTTACTGTGTATGCACAAGCACCTGCATTTTTACATAAGAACTGGATTACAGGGTGCATACTATTTTCAGACATCGTTTTTTTTTTTTAATCTAGTGATGTTATAGAAATATTTCCATGTAGAGAACGATATTGCCACTTTTAAAATCCCACAGTACGGCTATATCACTATTTTCTTAACTAGTCTATTGATGGACATTTAATTTGCTTCCATACTTCCTAATAGGTTCTTTTTGAAGTTTTCCCCACCATAATAGAAACCCCCTGTCCTGCAGGAGATAAAAGTGAACTAGTTAAGTGTGATAACAGTGTAATGGTTACACAGGAAACTATTTTTCTTTTTAAAGATGCTTTCGGAAATCTTCAGAGGTAAAATACATGCTATCTGTAATTAGCTTCAAGTCATCATCAAAAAATATAGATGAAGTAAATATAAAATACAAAATATTAATATGACCACTGTCATTGTTCAAACTAGGCATGCAAGTGTTCATTAGGGTCTTCTCTCTACTTTTCTGGAATGGGAAAATTTCCTAACAAAAAGTAAAAAAAGAGAAAGAGCCAGTAGTACAGGCTTATGTGAAAGTGGCTGAACTTCTTGATAAATGGGGAGATGTGTCAAAAACACTTACCTCCTCTCTCTCCCAAAAACCCTACTGAAATTGTAGTAAAGGTATAAAGAAGACATTAGCCTCAAAGAGATAGCAGAGATATGGTGACAGCAATGGCAATGACTTCCCAGCCTCCATTTAACCCCTAAAGCAACCATGGGAACCTCATGTATGAAAGTTAAAGATCACTTTGGAAAAGGGCAAGAGAAATAAAAGGAAATATAATTTTGGGGGTGGGGAGACTTTTGTAAAGATTTTTCTCACGTTTGAAAAAAGCACAAGGAAAATGTAGTCTCCATCTACATCTGGACCTTGTTTTATCTGGGTGTGTCTGGCACTATTGCTATAGACTTTTGAGATGAAGTCAAAAGATAGATGAGGGTGAAATGAAAGAAGGGTGGGGAAAGAAAGCCAATTCTGAATCTTTGTGGAAACTGCACCCCTTCATTTCTGGACTTCTTGCCCCATGTGATAAGAAGCTTCTTGCTTATTTAAGTGTTTAGAGTCTAGATTGTCTGTCCAAAGCATCCTAACTGACATAAGTATGCATAACAGTGTATGGCTAGAGGTGTTCACTGATGGGGAGAGAGGAGAAGTTATCACAGCACCTCTGAGAAGCAGGACTCCTGGAGTTCCATAGAACTGCAAAAAGTCATGGGTGAGGTGAGGGCTAAATATTGCAGGATGGCTGAAAGTTTTGACAAGACCTCGGCTCACCTTTACTTCTTTACACAGCCAG